GCCAATCAGCGCCACGCTGATGTCAAGCTGTACGCCGGTGGGTAACTGGTGAGGATAGCAACAATGGCGACTGCTACAGATCCTACAGACCACATTAACGATGCTATCGAGGTAATTCGCCACTACTCGCGTTAATGGAGGACCAAATTAGGGAAGCTGCTAAACTGGATTTAATGGCAATGCAGCTGGGCGTGCACGACGACAGAGACATTTTAAACGGGCAATGCTCGCTTGTTTTCGGCACCCCTGAGGCATGGATACTAATGACGTCAGATTCTGGGTGAGTCGTTGATCTCTACTGATTGGTTAGGGAAAAATCAAATTCCCTCCCCCTTGTAAATCACCTTCAATGGAAGCCATGTCAGACTGAAGGTTCTGGGAGCTTCAGTCTGACACTCAGGCTAGCCAAAACCTGCAGTTCTTTGAATGACCGCTTGACACTGGCTCCAAAAGTGAGTCAATCCCCATAGACCCCCATGTTAAAATGCCCAACTTTACAGCAGAAATTAACATGTTTACAGCCTGGTACAAGAAGGTTTTGGTCTCTATAGCTAATTTCCCCCTTCATGACAACTGTACAGTGGTTGAATTTTTATATAACTCACCCATTTAACTTTTGTTAAGGCTTAAAATAACACATAATTAAGGGTGGGCCGCTCTGAGTGATAGCCTGTCTGCTGACAGTGTCCATGGCTTCTCAGTCAGATCCACCCCTCGTATCTTGATAGCCCCAGCTTCTTGCCAAAATATGGCTCCAAAAAACAAAGTGGCTTCAAACCCATGGGTGATGTCACCATAGCTATGTCCATTATTTCATATAGTCTATGCCTCTACACTGTCATCTGATGAAAATGCCAAGAAAATAGTTGGGGGAATATAAGCATAGCATTACTTAGTAAAGGGGGCATATGGTCAATTGTATTTGCATATTTGCCTTAAAAAAAGCTTTGACTCAAGTCTTGATCTTAACAACTTCTATGTGGGTGCATGTCATTATAAATAAACAAGTTGTCAGCTTTACAACTACTCACACTCAAGACAAAAAACCGGTGGGGAAAACTACTCATAGCCAGAATTAAAAAAGAAAAAGAAAAAAGAAAAAAAAAAACAACACTTCAATGAATCTAGATTTGGGGAGTTCAGCATAAGGCCTAATGGTAACAAAACTCACACCGGAAAAGTCAAAAAGTCAACGAGGGCAGTAAGAAAACAGACATGGAAAGAAACAGAAAGAGAAAGGAAGACAGGAAGGTTAGAGGATAGAATAAGGAGTAGAGAGAAGGAAAAAAGAAGAGAAAGACAAAACTTTGGACACAGCTTTGTTAAAGAAGGTGGGGCATTGAAAAGCACACTGGAGAATACTGGGGAATTCTGTTTGCTTGTGCTGCATTACATTCCCTCTGCAGACTTTATGGGAAAGAAGCAAAATCTGACACACACAAAAAAATGTGGGGAAATAAATCTGGTATCTGCAGAGAAAAGTGTTTCTCGTTGAATGAAAAACAAATATTTGAACAGATGGAGGAAATTTTTTTATGTTGCGGAGGCACCACAGCTTCATAAGCATAGCACCAAACGCCTCATTCGGATTTTACCCTTCAACAGCTTGCTAAAATACACAGCTGAAGAGAAAGAGATACAGGAAAGGGAGAGACAGAGACAGGAGGGAGGGAAGAAGGGAGGAAGTGAGATAGAGAGGAAGATTTGGTATGTAGACAACCGCTGTGAAAGGAAATAAACAGATCCATACTTGACACACACTCTGTTCCCATGTTTCCACTATGCACCTACACACTGTTCATCAATGTTTACGTTTGTTTATCTATGTTATCTACGTCAGTCTCTGTGGGTCTGTCTGTGTGTGTGTTTTCTGGAGGTTTGAAGTGTTTCCAGCGGCAACACCCAGCTAGTCAACATGCGGTCAGCAGGCGCCCCCCCTCGCTTTCTCTCTGTCTCCAAACACCAACAGCCTCATCACACACTGGCCCAGAGTCAAGCAAATAAACTGCACTGCAGAGCGCTGAGGAGGCCGGGAGGCTGCAGCGAACATCACAGACCTGACTCAGGCACAGAAAACTAGAGAAATCTGCAGAATGCAGCTTTTCTCTTTAAAGCTAAAGTGCGGGCCTTTAACAAATAAATGAACATCTGTTGCATTGAAGCCTCTGCCAAACAGGTTCACACTATGCTAATTAAGCCTACTGCTGCCTGGGAAAGCTCTCTGTATTTACCAGTAAGCCAGAGTTGTGGTGTCTGGCAACTTTCCTGCACAGGCAACCTGGATGTGATGTGTTGTACATCAACAGCCAGAGGGGGTAGAAGGAGAAAAGGAAATCAAACTGACTAACGGTATGTAGGCAAGTATGGCGGATAATCCTAAAACTTTAAAAAGTTGATGCTCCAGATAAAATAGAAACTCAGCATTCCGAGTAAGGATTAAAGGGAAAAAAAAAAAGGCTTGAAGAAAGCAGTTTTTCAATGATGTTATGGTGTTTCAGGGTGTTGTCAGTTTGCTGTGATAGCAACCACCAAAGCTACATGTCTGGGAGTTAAAAGATATACCAAATCTCTTTTTGATGCCCTCCGTCTCTCCGTGGCTACATGTTGATCCATGACAGATAGGTCAGGAATGACCTTTCAATCTAAACCTTTGAGTCAACATGGATGTGAAGTTCTCAAAGCACTGGAGAAATGTTTTAAAGTACTTCCCAAACAGATATCCCTTTCCAGTGGGACACTACATGGAAAGTGAAACTTACCTATGGTCTCTTCAAAGCGAAACCCCACTGACAAAACAGTAATTTTACCTCGCTGAACACAGGAGCTGTTGGTCTACTGCTGCCTCAGTCTGTGGTGTGTTAGTGATTTTGTGTGATTTTGGTGAATCTGAACTACCATTTAAAACATCAAAGTCACAAAATAACACAAAGCGATCAAGGTCGTGGTAGACCAGCAGCTCCCGTGTTCAGCTAGGTAAAATTGTTGTTTTTGTGAATGGAGTCTGGCTTTAAGGAGGGCATAGATAAATTTCACTTTTAGTTTAGTTCTCTGTCGAAACGGGCTGTCTGTTTGGGAAGCACTGAACATACGAGTGGATAAATGAGACTTGGATTATACTGCCGACTTGTGGGAGAGTTTTTAAATAGAAGTTTTGATATTGTTTTGCTGTTGTTGAACATGGATTGTTATGACTTCAATTCATCAAAAATTTTCTCCATTTTTGGATACTTTGTCTTTGAGTTTTCCTCACAAATTCCATGTAAGACAGGCTGAGTCACTGATACACAAATGGTCATATGGAGGGGGGGGGAAGTTCTCCTTTCAGACATTAAATTATTTCCAGTCCTTCAGGATACCTGAAAAATCACTAGATTTGGAGATACAGGGCTTTCACAGAACAGCGACCATGTTACGACCTTCATGAGAATGGTATCACTTAATTGTTATTCCTATTACAAATGTTTAGTCTTGATTAATTTAGCTGCCCTTGTTGCTATCAGCTCTGACCCTATTACCTGTCAGCGTCATCACCACCAGGTCTCTGAGCCTGCTGAGAGGCAAAGACAGACTTATGAGAGACTGGAAGTGAGCCAAGAGACTTCCTGTGGCAGCAGGGGGGATTCTCCAGGCGAGGATCATTATTCACCATCTATTGAGCGCTGCAGTGAATGGTTCTCATGCACTTACCACATACTATTTAATGACACAGGCACGCACACAATCACACATACATGACTTCTTTCAGGTAGAGTCACAAAAAGGAATTTAAGTTCAAGAATGTGGAGCCACACAAATTCCCTGTAGGGTTTCCTCTTGCCACAGCAGGGCCCTCATGTGTGAGTCGTTTAATGTTTTGAGGCCTGTGTTGAATAAGGCGGGTGGACACAGAGGAGTTAAAATAGGTGGAGAGGGGGGGTAGTGTAAGGAATGTGACACCGAGGGCCAAGAGGGATGATGAGGGACACTTACAGGAATCTCTCAATTTCCCGTTGAGAGGCGTTTAAGAGTCAGAATTATCACAAAGCGCTGTGCTCACCCTCCTCTAACCCTGGACTCTTAACTTTGACTGCCCACTCATGCCATAACAATTCACTGAATCACACCTGGTAGGGTTTTGGGTTCATTACAAGTCAAACAAACAGATAATGATGATTATCTTCTCCTGTTTTCATTCTTATTACAGACAGAGAAACTGCTGCTGCTGCCAGAGAGGTATCAGATCTATCAAACACTGAGCTTAGATGAGAAAACACAAAGGCTTACATGAAACTGGGGTAAAGGGAACATCCCTCTTTTCCAAAAAGTGGATATTTATTTACATAAAAATGCAATGGATTAATCCTTTAAGACCATACTGTTGCTGTTCGGTCTTTGAGTATGTTTATAGGGGCTCACATACACGTGCTTTGTGTTTCTGCATGCCACACAGACGTGAGAAGCAGGGCTGTTTAAGAAGTGCAGCAGAGCAATTCTCCTGCATTCATGCTGGGCTGCAGACGTGAGCAGAATACTGAGGGACCGGAATGACAAGCTGGATGCTCTGAGGAATGCCGAGGCCTTGCCAGGCTAACAGCAAAGCTCTGACTGCCACTCTGAACAGCAAAGCTTTAAGCACCCAAGTGCAGCACAACACCGCCTCTCTGCAGAAAAGAAAGCTTAAGCTGCAACATGTTGTTTACACTGGCTCCAGCACCATCACAGGGTCAATTTGTGCATTTCAAGAGCTAATGATGGGACTGAATTGTCAATGCTAATGCAATTTTCTGACTGAGTCACTAAGAATCATCAACATGCATCTATTTCAATCTATATGAAGTGAGAATACATTAGAATAATGGACTGTCAATCCTAATTTGAGCCCTATTCTGGGGAGTTACTGAAGAATAGCAAGGAGTAAATGGTTTCTGTACTGCTCTTATTGTCACACCTGAGGTCCTAGATCACAGAGTGCATCTCTAATGCATACAGTGATTAAAAAAAAGGTTCATTTCAACACTTACCTCGGCTGCCATTCTCTTCATCCTGCAAGAGAAGAAGACAGAAATTCAATGTCAGATATGTAATTTAATGTCATTCAAGAGCTTCCGGTTTTAGATTCCTTATCAATGTTATGCATATAAATGATGAAAGACATTTTACATCATATGTTACATAAAAAAATACATGTAATTTTTCCCATCCCATTCCAAACAAGAATGGTAACAGGTTTCCTAATCTATTAATAATTTGAGACACTAATAAAGAAAACTGCTAAATATCTGCTGAAAAAGAGGCAATTTCCAGTTTTTCTCTTTCTTATTTCTGTGTATCTAACATATTTAGGTTTGACTATTGTTTGGACAAAATAAGCATATTAAAGATGTCAAATTGGACTCAGTGATTTCCAATTATTTTTTATTTGCTTCATGAAAACAAAACAAACCACAAAACAAAAAAGGGTCTGCTGACCAAATTACAGAAGTTAAAAGAAAGAGAAAATACATAAATAGTTGCCAAATTCAGGCCAATTTCTGTACTTAAATAACCGTACAAGGAGGAAGGACCATAATCATCCTAACCCTAACCCTAACCCAATCATCATTATACTATAAAACAACAATCCATTTAGAACCACCTATAAAAACATTCCTCATCATTCAAAACAAAAACAAAACTTTTAAAGCAGCTATAATTCATATTTCTATAACAACAATATCAAATCACAATGTGTAAACAACATGAAAAGGGTCTTTTTAAGCGTTTGAGCTTTTTAATGAGTTTCAGTCTTTGTTTAGCTGTCCAGCCCTCAAAGTTACCATTTTGGTTCAGTCTAGATACAGTTTGTGAACATAGCGGAGCATTAGGCAGTTAAAGTACCAGATATTTCCCTCAGTACAGACCAAAACAGAGCTAAAAGAGAGTGAATATTGGACTTACAGTCACCACATGGACATGAATAGTATAATTTTACTACTTTTGAGACGAGCTGATGTCAGCTTGTGACGGATTTCTTTATGTGGTCATCTGCTGCAGGCAAACTACAAAGGAGTTTACATTATATAGCCTACACTGCTACATGTAGCAACATGCTAACGTCAGAGAAGAATGCAATCTTGGTCGACAATGTTGCAAATTTCTCTCTGATTTTGGATCATATTCCTGCTGGGGCATGTCTGGTTGTGTTTAGAAGTTTTATTGGTGTTTTTCCATGGAACAAAGTGTCACTATTCTCTGTTACCATTATGGTGGTGCAGAGATTCCATGATAGTAGACTGGGCTTTTTTGTAGGGGAGGCTTAAAGAGACGGGGCTAAAATAGACTATATCAGACAGAGGGTCAATACAGGTGTTCCAGCACAGACAGTATGAGGAAAATTAAGTGTTTTTTTAACATTAAAGCATGTAAAAATATTCTAGTAGAAGCCCCAAAATACAATTATGTGCCTGAAATGAGCATAACAGTGTTGTCTGGCATTTTAAAGAGAAATCAATTGTTACTCCAAATAATAGTTAACTGCTGCCATAGAGGGACTCTCCCAGCACTGAGTGATGGATGAGATGAGCCATAGAGAAAAACAGAAGCATTAATTATCATTTAGAATTGCTACATTTAAATTGTTGTGGCAATCTAGACACAAGAGGGGACAAGACTCCTCCACAAGCCACTTCATAGCCACATTTGTGTTTTTTCCTGTTCCTCAACACATAAAACTTTAATTTCCCTCCGAGCATCAGTTAAAATCCACACGCTCCTGCTTTAATCCACCTCCCCTCAGTGACACATATGTTCTCCACTGTATCTTTAAAGACTCCCTGCTCTCCCAGGGCTTTCCTTAAGACGCTCTGACCCTCTTCAAACTAACCCCAATATCCCCAAACTGCGATTAATCAAGATCTCCAATCCAAGACCTGAAAGTAATTACACTGAAATGTGATGAATGTACAAGATGAGGATTTTTTTTTACCCTCCCCTTGTTGGTTTGGGTTACGTAATGGGGGAACTGGTTTGGGTTTACAGTGAGTGTGACCTGACGGATTGAAAATTTAAAGCTTTACTTTGAATATTTCCCAGAATCACGTCTTATGATAAGAAACCCACAGCAGACTCCAGACAGTCAGCTGAAAGGCAGACAAACTATAGCTTCAGTTGTGTAATACTATATATCAGTGTCTCAGAATTATTGCATACATAAATAAGAATAATGGCAACCTCTTATAGGAGACTAAAAGCTAAATTCTGCTTTGTCAGGAGCTGCCAGTGTTTCAAGATGAATTCACTGCCTTCATTTTGCATGGTATGCATCTAAGACTGCCGGGCTTTTAAAGAGAACAAACTTGCTAATGTCAGTTCAATTCAAGCCCACAAACACTTCATATCCTTTTATTAAGTAACAGCAAGATGAACTTGAAAGTGTCCGAAAAAACACTGTGATACCCAAGAAGGCCTCTGGGAGATACTGTCTCTCTTTTTGGTTACAGAAATGTCTGAAGAACTGTCGTGCCACAGTTTCTCTTACAACATGCCGAACCGAAGCCAAAAGCTATAAACAGAAAGCACTATGCTAACTTTGTAGGAAATCCTTCTGTGCAAACTGAAGAGGCTGTCAAAATACACTTCAGAGAAAAGTAAACCCAATTTATCCTGAATTATCACTTTAAAAAAACGAACAGTCAGGAGGCGGCGATAAGCTTTGGGAAAGCTGACTCGAAACACCGGCACATTTTCCCATTAAAGAAAGCCTGTCGTATTTACCCAAAGCCCTTTAGTGTGTGTTAGTCTGTGCTCGTCTGTGCATTAGGAGCCGGAAATGCTGTAACGTCAGGATTAATACCAAAGGGCAGATTGGTGCTGATGTTATCCAGAGGACGGCTGGCAGGCTTCCCAGGTGGGATGATACGAGTCGGAGCGGCTCTTAAAAACAAAAAAAAAAAAAAAACCTTTCTGCATTTCTGCATCAGTGACAGGACACGACAGCTCATTGTATTTTCAAACAGGTGTGTCGTATGTCCATATTGGCAAAGTGGCTAAATTTTAAAAAAACAATAATCAAATACATTAGTATGCAAACAAAATCTGTTCCTTTAATCGAATAGTTTATCGTTAAAAATAACTACGCAGGATTCTCCCTCCAAAAAGATGTACTAACTAATACAAAAGTAATCCCTCTCACTCATCACTTGGGAGGTGTATTTTCTTGCAGCGACTCTCTGTTTGTATTTTCCTATTTACTTCTTACTTTGCTGTGTTCAGGACATTTCGAAGCATGCGCCTCCAGCCAATAACAGTACGCAGATAAGGTAAGGACCAGGTGCCAGACCAAGAGGAAGCTACAAAAATCGCAGATACAGCACCAAAAAATGCAAATATAATGAGGCAGAACGCCAAGCGGACAAAGCTCGTTCCAAAATCAGAGTGAATCCAGGGTCGGCTTTCACTTTCACTGGTGAGCACTGAAGGAAATGATGAGGAGGAAAAGTGAGGCGGTGTTGGCCTGTTTTTGTTGGACAGGTAGATGCCGGTGGTCAGCTTAGTTCGCTTGCCATGGTATTGGCTTTTCCATTACAACAAATGTAATATTTCTACAATAGTGCAGTATCATTCAGTGTACGTACAAGCAGTTTAGAGAGTGGGTCTACAAACTGTACCCGACAATTCCTGATTAGAATACCTTTAAGTTTATAAAATGTCAGATAAGCCAAATAAATATAAAACTAATATTAAGATAGTTTCACTTTCTGTCGATAAACTACTCAACTAATCAATGCAGCTCTTCCAGAATCTATAGAAATGTAAAGTGGGAGAAGCTACAGTGTGTGGAGCCACCCCAGTTTAGCAAGTGGTAGCCTCATTAATTTGTTCTGTCGACGATATTACATGACTCACAGCAGGAACACTGTTTTTTAAATAAAAAAGTCAAAGGTACCAGTTTGCGTACACAAAAATATAAGGTGAGATCTTAACTATGACCCCAAAGGCGCATTTCAACAACAACATCCAATTGCCAAGCTGAAAATGCTGCTTACAGCAGGAAGAAGCTGACAATTTTTAGCTTTACTTTTAAATTCTGGGCCAGTTTTGGATGAATTCAGCAACTGTGCAACCATATTTTGTGATGAAGCATTTCGAATTTGCTACAGCTCTGATTTGCAATGTTAAATGGCTTCTTCTCCATGGCAACAACAACCAAAACGTGTGGGTATTGTAGTATTTGGTGCCATTTGCCAAGTTAAAATAATTAAAACAGGTGTTTATTAAGATACAATAAACTTACACAATCGTTACTTGTTTCTGTGTCCATTCACATTGTGGACATTGTTAATAGAAACATTTGAAACGGGAATGCAGAGCAGGGAGAAAACACTTCCTCCCTCTTCACAACTCTACTGCACAAAGGAAATTGAGGAGCTCCTCACAGCTGGAAGGAATTACAACAAGTGGCGGATGGTGGTAAAACACCTTCAGGAAGATCTCAGAACAGCAAAAACATGATAAATATGATGAATAGTTCATACTGTATGTAATTAATAAGTAGTGTGGAACTGGGACACATCTCTCCTGTCCCAACAGCACTAAATACTGAGGTGTTTGTTTAGGACTGAGTTCAAACAGCAACTGAAAGTCATGATTCTGACTGTGTTTTCCCCCTCGTGTCACACAAATCAGGTGTCTTTTAATCACTGCAGACACTAAAAAGCTAAATAAAGTCACATTTTATGATTATAATCTGGAACACTGACCAGTAGTTATAATTTTCAAAACTGTGTCAGCAAGGCCAGAGTTAGCACAGGGGACAAAATAAACAAAGTGACTGGAATTTGGAGAATGATTCAATCGAAGTTGTAAACAAATGCGTATACTTTTTAATATTGTTGAAATGGGTTGCATCTTTCAAGAGTATAGAACACTGATTTACTATGTCCAATCAAATGCATATTGCACAGTTGCTACTTGGGTAATTTCAGTCTGAAAATATGTTTTTTCCTGAAGCTATACAAGTCAAAATCAAGTTTTAGTCCCTTTAATTTCATTATCCTGCCTGTTGTCTGAGATTATTTCATCTGCTTCTGATACAAAGTTTGTTTTTATGACAGTGTTTTACATTAAGTCAGATCCTCCTACTGGCCTGAGGCTGACATCACTTGTTTCAACAAAAGGTTATTTACTTTGTGTATTTTCTTACTTCAACTGTCAGAATTTATTGCTTGTTTTAAACTATTACTGAGCTCTAAATTGCATTAGATGGTATGATGCTTGTTTTGGTAACAGATGACGTTATATCACCTTCAGAGAGTTGTGGACAGCAGACTCAGGCGGGTAGACGATGAAGTGTCGCAGTGTGAAGCCGAAGCCCTGGGAGGTTCGGTGCAGGTGAAGCGTCTTGGGCCCCGGCCAGGAAAAAGGCTCCTCCTCGGGCCCGGGAGAAGCCAAAGCCGACGCCTCGCTCTGATCGCGCCCATCCTTCTGCTTGGCCTGAGAGAAGGAACAAAAAGCAGGTATATCAGTGCTGATCATCAGGACATAAACTGTGGTGTTGATATGGACAGAACATGAAAGAAGAGGAAGGATTTTAAGAGACTTATTTTAATCATAATTCATTTAGCGAAATACACTTATTTGCTTGAGATCTAGATGAGAAGATGAGAAGCTATCAGTTATAGAAGGCAAGTTAGCTTAGCTTAGCATAAAGACAGTAAACAGGGGGAATCAGCTAGCCTGGTTCAGTCCAAATGAAACAATCTGCCTACATTATGCTAAGCTAAGCTAACTGGCTAACTGTAGCTTCATATTTAGCATACAGACACAAGTGTGGTATTGATCTTCTCATCTAACTCTTAACCATGCTGATGAATGCAAAAAAAAACAAAAAAACAGGGGAAATAAAGTGTAGATCAGTGGATCTCAACCTTGTTTTCTTGTGACTTTTGTACTTAAAATTAGGCATTGCCACTCGTTTTTTTTTTTTATTTCTCATAATTTTTGTCAATTTAAACTTTGACAGGCCCAGCACATTAAAGTACCCTGTTAAATACAGGCATTTCGGGTTGGTAGTCAGCACGAATCATCCAAAGTGTTGGTTTGACGCCCTGGGAATGCGACTCAACAATCAACTTTTTTTCTTCATAGTTACATACACCCCTTTTAACAAAAAAAATAAATAAATTAAAAAAAAAGCTAAAAGTCATGAGAAAATAATCATAACTTTGTGTAACAAATGTTTTTCTCTTTGTTCCCCCTCATATCCTCACCGCCTCCCGGGAAATTTATCTTACATCCCCTCGGGCAGTCTTGACCACCCAGTTTGGAAACCACTGCTGTAGATGATGCACCACTCCACAACAAAGAAATCAAACGTGGTTGTGAAAACAATGACGCACTAATAGTAATACTGCCATTTCCACATGTTCACTGTTGAGAATAAACTCACAGCCACAAAAAAAGTATAGTCACTTCATCCCTGGAAACTGTGTAAAGAAAAGTGGGTTTGCTACAACAAAGACAAGTGTGTTTTCACAAATGAAACAGCCCAGAGCTAAGCATACGTCTTATTAATCAACTTGATTTAAAAACACAAGAAATCCTCTGACAGTGATTTCTCACAGTTATCAGGCTGTTGTTTCTGCCGAGGTATCATTTGTGGTCAAGGTTTGCGCTTGTGGGAATGAGAAAAAGAGGAAAAGAAGAGGGTTTATTAATAAAAGATATGCTGTAGGGTGTTTCTGCTGTATAAATAGATTATAGCACATTGGTTGTCGACTATAACCTGCTACAAAAGGCTGTTTTTGAGTATATGAAACATGTTTGACCAGCAATCTTTCTGCTGTCTATCATTATAAACACTATGGCAGATTGATAACATCACAGTGGCTGATTTGGATGTTAAATGTAGGTAATATAAGAATTGTAAGACATAGTTACCCTCCTCAAACCACATAAACATATTTTATATACCTAAAATCAAATGTCTAAACAAAATCCCCCATCACTACCACATCATTAGTTTGTAATGGGATTACTCTGCTGATTAACTGTGTCATTTTCTGGACTTCTCTATAATTTTAGTCCACATACAGTAAGTGTCATAGAGCTCAAAATACTTCCTGACTCTTACTGTCATCACCAGTTAAATAAAACTGGTCTCAAGTACCAGCAAACTGATCTCCTCTGCTACTGCGCTCTGTCTAAACGGTGGGTATATAGATATATAATATATCACATTCACTACAAGCTGTTGATTAAGACACCAAAATGAGTTTCAGCTTGCAAACACGGGGAAAAAAAGTCATTTCAGTCAGCACAGCTGGTATCCTCAGATAAAAACGGTTGGTGACAGAGGCCAAAAATGCAGTCAAATAATTTTGTTTCTAAGTTGGTGGTTAATGTCAGTGTTCACAATATCTGTCAAAATAATAGGGACTGTCATATAAGCCACATTTGTACTGCCCCGAGCTCCACACAGCTATACATATGGCTTTAGTTATTGCACATTTGGGGCTTTGCAGGGCTATTTGGCGTGTTTGCATGATGACAGACTTATCTTCTACATTTCTTCTGTGACTAACACAAGGGATAAAAACAACCATTAAATGCTGGCAGCTCTCCCTTGCGTAATATCACATTTATGCCTACATCACACAACGCGTGCTTCACATCAGCAGCAAAACTCAGACTTTTAATGTTCTGTAACAAAAAGTTGTTTGCGTTGACTTGGTGTCAAGTGGCAACTGTAGCTAAGCTGAAAATACAGTGAGTCACCGCAGTTTACGTTCATGACTCTCTTCCTGAATATGATGTTACAAAACACACAGTAACACAAACACACACACACACACACACACTCATACACACAGAGGGAGTATGGGTGGTCACATGTTAGATTTAAACATAAAGATTGCGTCATTCGCTTAATACTATGATGTAGAGCTGCAACTTCATTGTTGGTTCAGGAACAAAATATTCAGTAGATTGACTGACTTATCATTTTGGTCTAAAAAATATTAATCAGTGTTTCCCAGGGTCCCAGTTGACAGCTTTAAATATCTTATTTTGTCTGACAAGCGGACCAAATATGTTCAGTTTAATATCATAGAAGAAGAAAACAAGCAAGTATTCACATTTGGAACCAGAACAGAGGCTGCTGTCACATTTTTAGTTTAAAAAAATGATTGTAATGATTAATTGATTATCGAAATTATCGAAACACTTTTCTATTGGTTGAACCTTTTCCCAAAACATGTATAAGGAACTCACGTATGTTTATATATCCAACTAAAATACAACAAAAGCTTGCCTGGGTCCAGACCTTTGAATCCTCCCACTCAACCAAGTTCGAGTTACTTGACTGGTCTGGCATCATGACATGAAACAGCTTCGGTTAAAATAAAAAAAACAACCAATGACGCAGCCACAGGGGGACTAGTGATTAGCCAATCAGCACCATGGATGGGACTAGTGCCGTTGTCAATAGTCATCAAGAGTTGTCATGCGGTGCAACGGATCCAATAAGAGTAACAGCAACAATGGCAAGCACTATAGTCAAACTAGACGCTGCTATGAAGGCTGTTCTAAATCCAAAGATCTTCCTAATATTGTCAAACATTGTAGCCGGACATGTTGGTCTCCTGTGATTGGTTAAGGAAAATCAAATCCCCCATCCCATGGAAACTGGACAAAGTGGACCAAGCAGCAACCTTAGGGGCTGAACAATAAAGCCAACACCAAGTAGCAAAAACTGCAGTTCTTCAAATTGCCACTGGAGGCTGGCTCCAGAAGACAGTCAATCCCTTTAGACACCCATGTTAAAATGCCCAACTTAACAGCAATAATAAACATGTTTACAGCCTAGTACAAAAAAAGGTTTTGGTGTCTATAGCCAATTTCAACATTCATGACAACTGTACGGGTGGGGGAATTTTTATCTAACTCTAACTCTAAACTATTTACATTTTATCAAGGTTAAAGTATGCATAATTAAGCCTGGGCTGCTTTGAGTGACAGGCTGTCTGCTGATTGTGTCCTCAGTCAGATCCACCCCTTGCTCCTCCACAACGCCATCATCTAACATCTCACCAAAATATGGTCACTTCTGGCAAAAAAAACAAGATGGCGAGCTGTAATACTGAACACAAGGATTAAGTTAAGTTTTGGACTGTTGGTTAGAAGAATCAATCAATTTGAAGGAGCACTGGGCTCTGCAAAATTGTGCAAGGCATTTTTTATTACTATTTTGTGACCATTTAAAAACCAAACTATTAATCAGCCATCCAGGATGTTGTGATCACAATTAAAACGAATTATATCAATCCTTGTGAATTCTGCACAACCTTGAAATTTTGCCCAATTACTGCCACTTTACCGCTAATTTGACCAATCATCGCACTTGAGTTCTGTTGTTATTGTTGTTGTTAAGATTCAAACATGTGTGGCATGACCGTCTCACATTTACCAACAAAATGTACTGCTAAAGAATGTGCAAGGCAATACCCCATTGTTCTGCATGAAGGCATGGGTAGACATTTTTGCAGCATGTTCAGCTTTGTAGTGGAACACAAACAATATCCATTGATAAACACTTTTCTGTTGCAAAACACATCTGGAGAATGACTGAAACACGTGGACAACAGACGATATAAATCACCATGACAGAGGCTGTTGCATCCACATCTATTGCACTTGCTGACACAAGCAAGGCGAGTCAGATTAAACATGCATGGAGAATGGTTATGTTGGTGTATGAATCATAAATTCAGAGCAGTGCTGTTTTATTTTCACTCAAAAAGTACAAAGAAGTCAAAAATGTTATGTGTTGCAATAGTCCAAACACACAAAACAACAATACCACTCTCTGAAAACATCCAGGACTTCAACTCCATTTTGCATCTATTTTACAAAGCCTTTTCAAATTCCTAACAACACAGATTAATCATTACCTTAAAGATTCATCAGGAATATTCTCTAACACTTAATCACGATGTCTCTACATTGCGTCATCACTATGAAACATTCTGACCTCTCCTGCTGCTGCGAGCTGTCTGAGCAGTGAGACTTCTGTCACATCCATCATCAAAGTAATGATGGAGCTGAACCGCTGCACCACAGGGCGTGCGTTAGCGGTTATTGCTAACACCACCATAGTGACTCGGGGCTAGTCGAGCCTGCCAAGAGTTTGAGCCTCAACCCAGAGCTCTCTGCAGGCTCTTCTCCTACCAAAATACATCTTAGGTGTGGATCCAAAACAAAGACATTCTCCCCACCACCCCTCTGGCTTCTCTATCCGCACCTCTCCTCGGCCTGTCTGGGAGCAGCAGATGTAGGAGCCTCCAGAGAGCGGGATGGGTGTGGGCTTAATGGTATGACTGGTGAAATCACCACCAATACTCAGTGGTGTGGAGCTGGCAGAGAGCCACAGTCCACAATGTAACAGAGAGAGGAGGGGAGAGCTGACAGTCCAGCTCAGCTGTTTGTTTTGATTTCACGCTTAAAATTTAATGCTGTATTATGCAATAGCTAAGCCGTTTGGCTCAAATGCCCCATGGAAGAGGGACACACACACGGACACACACACACATTTTCCATCCCTTTCTATATATAACATGTTGAATTATACAGGAAGAGAGGCAGCAGCAAGGCACAAAGTGAAGGGAAACTACAGCTGCATCGTTCTTCAGTGAAAGACATTCGAAAAGGTACAATACTGTAAATCTGCTCCAAACAAGCTCACACAATTACCTGACACTCAATTATGCATGCAATCTGTTCAATACAGTCACCATTATGTGCCACTGAGGGTTTGATCTGTGTGCTGCCATATGGTGTCGCAGCCTGCAGGATGGTGCATTTGCATGCCTATTCCTGCTTCTTTATGTATATGAGATGGATTTGAATGGCATTACTTGTGGACTCAGCTCTTCTCCACACTATTGCTTTTTTAAGTGCGTGAGTCACTCCTGGGTCATCTGACCTCATGGATCTACCTCTTCCACTCCCTCTCGCCTTTTCTTTCCAAACTTCGCTCCCTTTCTGACCATAGACTTTAACATTAGTCACCCTTATTCACTATACTTAAAGGAAAATATGCCTCCAGTTCTCTATGCGCTCCATCACTGCACAATGACTTCATTCCATTAAGCTTCAGTCCATGCTTTGTGAAAAAGAAATGGCAGAGGATGAAATTCTAAAATGCACACAGCTGGAAAGTAAACAATCTCTTCCTCTGACAGCAGCAAAGTGTCGCTGTGTAACTACCAACAATAAATGAAACCTAAAACCCAAACACACACTCGCATTACAAAAGATATCGGTCAGTGAAACAGGACTACCCTGCCACTGGAGAGCAGGATGACGCACGCTAAATTCCTTAGACAGCACAACAAAGTGTAGCCGCCCCTAAATTCTCCTCCCATATCAAATGCTTCCTATCTAAACCTATATACATCTGCCAAACACTGATATCACCTCAACACATATTTAAGCAGATCAGGGTAATCCTAAATGCCTCAAAGCTACATCACAGCTTGCCTCCTCAAAATGTCACTCCACAAGGATGCTCTCCATCTTTCTCATGCATGACTGTCCTTACCCGAGATCGGACACAGTTCTTCCTGGAGGCTTCTCTGAGCCGAGCCCATGACACGTTGCGATTAGGACTGGTGAGCCCCAATTCCACCTCTCCCCAGTAAGCTCTGGCCAAAAGCTGGAACCAGAGGCAGTACGGCTCCGACAGGCAGCCGTCCACCCCGGCCAACCGAGCCCAGGGACACCCTCCGGATGATGGGGAAGGAGAGAGGGAGCAGCATCCTTCAGCGTTCACGTCCACATCCCGCAGGTCTGGGTGATCCTTCAGAGGAACAGGCTTACAGCCTGGAGGGAGCCCGTTCCTCTGGGCCAGCATGGCATAGCCAGGTTTGAGGTGGTAGGATCAAATAGATAAAAACCGTCCTCAACAATGCTCCACTTTCGGTGTCTTTTGGTTCCTCTTTTCTACGTCCTCTATTCCAAGTTTCTGGTCAAGTCCATTCTGCGTCCTCTTCCCTCCTCGCTCCGTCCTCAACTGTCTATTCTGGTTTTGGAGAAACAGAGCAGTTCTTCTGGGCGTCCCACACACACATGATGTTTCCACTCAGCCGAGAGGAGAGCACAGCGGCTGAGTGCACTGCAGAGAGCCCGGGCCGACTGACTGACGCACCCACCCACTCACCACACAAAACTCTCTCTGAAGTATGCACGCACACACATATTCCCATACACACACCAGGCGGCCTGAAGTGAATTCTCTTCCTTTCCTGTCTCCTCCATCTCTCTCTAACTCTCCTCCTCTACCGCCAGCCTTTAAAAGTTTTAGCTGCTGTGAGCTCACCAACAGACTCACGTGTTGTGTTAATCAATAAATCATAAGAACAAATGAAAAGAGAAGACGAGACGCACACACACAAGTCGAAGGTAAGTTAAATATGAGGAACATTCAAAAAAGGTTTTTTTTCGGGCAGGAAGCACAAGCAGAGCAAAGCTGCTATCTGCCAGGAGACGGGAATAACTTGGATTGTTTTCACAGCCGGTGGAAGAAGTCAAGTGGGGCTAATACAGATAAGGAAGCATATGGGTTCTGTGAAATCTATAAGGCACAAAAATGTCGAGCCGACCCACCCACCTTCACATGCCTGCAGCTCATCTGGAAACTACAAAGACCTGACTCCTGGGTGGCAGGCGCTGTGGTCAGAGAGACTTCCAGGAGTTGCATAAACACACAGTAACTCCTGTATATTTATTTATTTGTCTATTTAACAGGGTCCATACAGATAAACATTGTTAGGTTAGGATAAGCAATGCAACAGAATAATGTATATAGAGCATGTAGTTAAAAGCGAATTTGCAGCCACAGCCCTGGTTAAGCTTTTAACTGTTTTACAATATCAACAGACATGCCAAATAAAAAGACAGATGCTGGAGTAAAGTTGATAAAGTGGGAACAGGGAACATGGCCTCCTTTCTGTGCCAGGTGATTGATAATAAAACAAAACGTACCATAATGCTTGCTGTAGTATGAAATTAGTCTTAAGCAGGATTTGGTGATATAATAATAGACTGCATTACATAACTTCTCGTTAATCAATCAGATTTATCAGACCAACACACCTACAATCCACCCAGGTCCAGGTATTTTATGTTGCCAAATTTACTTTTTCTAAAGATTGTCAAGATTACAGAACTTTTGATTGACAGCTTCCATACTATCTTGTGTTTCTTCACGTTTAAATTTTAAATTGTATGTTCTGACCTCGCCATGGTTTATGTGTGGTTATGTTTAGGCACGAAAAACACTTGGTTATGGTTAGGAAAAAATCCTGTTTTGGCTTAAAGTACCAGGTTTTGTCGCCACAACCACCACTGGAAATGTGTCGACATCTCTTTGTAAACGACTTGTTTTTTGTTGCCACAACCACTCCTGGAAATGCCACATTGTCTTGTTAAAAACAAAACTGGTCTTGAAAAGTGGTCTGCTCCTTGGCAGATGTCTTGCCTAGGTGTCACACCATCCACCACCCCCTCCCTTCATGAGAAACTCAGCTTATAAACATGTAATGTAGACTATGTCACTTTAGGGATGTTGATGATACATATGAAACCTACAGATGTAACGTATCAATGGTTTACAGAAATGCACAATGCCAACATTTTTTCCTGCCAACTGGGCTGCATTCTTATTAGTTAACAGAGTTTGGTGGCCTGAGGGAGATCCTGTGGATTGAAACGTTGCCTTAAAAGGAGAAAAATGAGAAATAAACTGTTTAATTGGAACCCAACAGTGCGCAGACCTCCTTCGTGCCCTGTAGTGACATCACTCATTTCCCAGCCCAGGTCCAACTAACTTCAACCTGACTTGGTTTTATTAGTAAGACTGGTTGAAAACTCCTCTGTGGGAGTGCAGAGCTTTTAAGAAAAGTAAAATAGTAAAATTATCCCCTTGTTAAACCCAATTTGAGGTTTCATTAGCACCAAGGAGTATCTAGTTTGCTGATGTTATTTTACAAGAAGGTTCTGTTACAAGCAATTTCTTAAACTGTGCTGACTGAGTGGAACAATGGAGCAAATCTAGACAACTGTCACAAACCCAAAGATTACATGTTCAATCCCTAAAACTGTCCCATAATGGCTAAAATCATCTTGACTGTGACAGTGAATCCCCACCTCTGAATTAGAGCCTCATGTGAATCTAAACTCCACCACCTGCAACCACCAAATCTCCCTTCACACTCGCCTCGCAGTATTACATAAGAGGGCCGGCCATGCCACAGGGGAATACCTCCTCAATCCTTCCAGGTAAACAAAACCCCGCAGAGGCTTGGCAGCTGCCTTTATTTCAGGAGCAGTGAGAGAGTTGGGAGCAGGATGGACTCAGCCCTGATACCTTTTAGTAAATCTCTCTGGTAGAGAGCAGGGCCAAAACATCAATTTAATATTTAATCACATTTTCATCTCAGGGCTCTCAGGAGCTTTCGTGCTGCTCCAACAGCAACATCAGGACTACGTGCTGTGAGATGGCCTGTTACTAAATGTTGAATAAGTCTGTGTAACGTTGCTTGAGGACAATGGGTCTGCCTTTCGTCTATTTTGAATTTCAATACCTCACTGCGTCTCCAGGGTGAGTTATTAGTTAATAATTGGGCATTTACTGGTTCACTTCCAATGTCTGTCTGTCAACAAGCGCTGTGGTTTGTAAAGTCGCTCTGGATGAGAGCGTCTGCTAAATGGCGAAAACGTAAATACCAGTCTATTTTGATTCTGAGGAATATTTGCCATCCGAGACGGTGGCGACCGTGAAAACAACATCAGGAACCCAGTGGTGGAATGTTCCCTCTCAGCGTTTTGTTATGAGCATCTTGTTACCACATTCACTCGGCTCAATATAGCATGTGGTATTCTGTATGGAAAAGATGGCAGAAATAGACGTCGCCAAACACAGCCAGTTGAGACACTGGACCTGTGGAAGCCAAAACAAGGATTATGTCTCATAAGAATGGTTATATATGGGAACCATACAGTCTACTGCATATATATAAGTGAATTTACATGATCATTACAAGCCCATTAGAGGTAAAAATTTCCTGTCATACAGTGCTTCTTACCTCCACTAATAAATAAAGACTGTTAAAGGGTTTCAACACACATCATATACGTCTCTAAATTCCTGGAAATCTAAAACACATGATAAAGGAGGGGAAAAAAAAGATCCTTGAATGGAATTCCTGTTGGCCAGGAAGTGGATTTGGTGCCATGCAGACACAAAAACTAGACATGCTGCCCCAGAAATATTGTGCTGTTGTTGTGGCAACGAACCACACCACAACAATGTCGGCCGCTGAACCGGGGTGTTCTCCGTGGGCGCTCATGTGATTTCAAGGTTTGTGTGCGTCTCCATGTTTATGTATAGATCGGTGTGACTAAGGGTGAGAGCAAATAGTGCAGAGGAGGTGATTTGAGACTTGCCAAACATTATTAGCGTTGAGGATGCTTTCTACAGCAAACAGGCTGAAGTAAAGGAAAGGATTTATGTGTGTTTTGGATTTAGTTTTGCTCTGTTTACTAGTGGGTAAGCTGGATCATGACTTAATGTCTGGGCAGGACTGATACAGCGAGGATAATTCAGGTCATCTCAGATATTGTAGCTGCAGAGTTAGGTAAGTGGAGGAATCATGTCCCGGCATATCAATGAATCACAGTAAACAGTGTTACTTCAGAGACGTGCTGTGGCAATTTTCATCAGAGGCTTACCTGAATACAAAAGAAAAATGTGAATATTGTTGACTGCCTAAACGCATTACACTGAATACGACGGTGTAGCCTCAACACTTTAACATTCTCAGGTAGCAGAAACGATGAGCCTATTTACACCTCATACATATTGGGCAGATCGGACAGCTATCCCATCAAGAGGCATTCTAGAGGGATTAGAATACAACTAGATGTTGACAGAGGTTGACAAGTTGTCAATGCACTCATAAAAATGAGTGTATAGTGTATGTGGTCTTTACTCCTACCAGTTGTAACTACATCAGTAAGAGATAGGAAGACCCTGCTAAGAAAACTTTCCCACCAGTTAAAAAACAGGTGCTAGAAAAGTTCATCAACAACGCTCAATATCTGAAGAGCTCTTACTCTGATCTTTAACATAAGTTCTTTAGATCTTCCGCTTACTTTGAACAAAACAAAATCGGTGTGGCAGTGCCTGCTTTTCATTTCAATAAACTTGCAAAGGTTTATTTCTTTTGGGCTGCAGCTGCGGCTCGGGCTCAGCGGTGGCTCCCTCTTCCTATTCATTTCCGTCTTCTCTTACAGAATGGACTCTCCACCCAAGAATGAATGCTTCTTCCTCTATCATCCCCTTGGTCTCCTCAACATTCAGGCTGCAGTCACCCCAGTAGTAATAAAGATAAGTAATAGGTAATAAGGTCCCGGCTTGCTTCTGGCAGAATTCACTGCGATCACGTCATCATACTGTGGTCGAAGCTCTGTGCTGTGACTCTGCTACTGCTGTATGGCGCAGACACTTCTAGTTTATGATTGTAGTGTCCATGGTATTAATAACACGCTTAGTATTTTACAAATCAGAGTTTTTTTTTCATTTGATCAACATGGACACTGGTATAGAAAACAAAGGTGGGGGCGATGGGCAAGTATGTAATCAGTTTGTAATAGCTGTAAGGCCAAACATCTTGACCAAGCCTGGTAAGCGGTCTGTGGAAATAGTCACTTCCAGTGTTCTATCATATCCATTTCTACCCCTGTGATAAAGGCAGCTGAAGCTACACAGAATTTCACTTAGAGCCAGTGAAGATGCTAAAACTTTTGTCTTCCTCGCAGTCTATAAATCGGAATCAACTGTGTTATTGCTAATTGTTTATTGTTACAACTTAACTGTTAAAGAGCAGAGGTTATTCTTCTTCTGGTGCTTATGGGAGTTACCAAACACTACTCTCTGAACTAGAAGGGAGTGACCCTGATGTGCATACAGCCCAAGAAAACCAAGACAGGTTGGAATGAGATCTATGAGCTGGCCAACAGGGATGCCTTGATGTGATATGAGTGTACTAAAGTGCTTGAAATGTGTGTGTGTGTGTGTGTCTGTGTCAGATAATGGAAAAAATGGCCAGAAACAACTCTCAG